ATAATGGAATTGGATAAACGATTACTAAGAAAAGTTTATGAAATTGGTGAATTCTATGTGCCTACTTACTTTACAAGAGCGGTGGCATAATTCTTTTGAAGTTTCATAAGAGAGGAAAGGGATGATGGTACATGGCTGAGGGATGTAACTGGGATTGGTAGGACAACGGCATGTTGGTCAGGAAATAAACTTCTGTTCATAAATAAGCATGTGGGTGAGCCAAACTTCAAGGTCTATGTTTAACATATATCCAATGTGGGGAACTTCTACTGGTTAGCTTTCTGTTCGTATAGAAGTTAATCCATTATATTCAGCTGAATATTGTTGGCATCTTTTAAGGTTCTATTGCTTTTAAGAGAATATTTTAGGCTTTATTTCACCAGTATTCAGTGAGTGCCTGGGATCTGTGCTTTAAACAACATGAATACAACGTCATCGGTGTATCTTTCATATAATTATCTCTGTGGTGCTGACTCCACAACCTATTATATTGCTGATTACTCATGTCTTAGAAGACTGTAATAAGGATTGTGGCTCTACTGGAGCATAACACTTGCAAGTACAACTAGAGCTTATGGAACTTAGTTTCTGGCAGTTTTCTTTGTATGTGCATATTTCTGACAACTCATCTAATATTGTGACTATTTGGTCCATGCAGAAAGATGTGTTCTTGATATGTTCAAATGCTATGCAGTATAATTCGCCAGATACCATTTACTTTCGTCAGGTTTGGCTGTGGCTTAAATCATATTTAGTTCACATTAGTTTTCTTTTTATTGGGTTTCTGATAAGACCTTGTTTGCTTGTTTAGGCACGATCCATGCAGGAGTTAGCAAGAAAAGACTTTGAAAATTTGAGGCAAGATAGTGATGATAGTGAACCACAACATAAAGTTGTAAGAAGAGGTCGGCCCCCAGGCAAGAGCATGAAGAAGTTGCCTGACACACCGTTGTTGGACCGTATTGCTTCTGAATTCTCCTCAGATGCAACTCTTGCTACTGGAGGAGATACTGGTAGCTTGTCTAATGCGTACAATTTAAGAAGAGGATCTAATTCATATAAGCTTCGGCCAGTTGATACTGTAGTCAGGGCCTCACATGCACCTCATAATGGTGAAACTTACAGCAGCTGGACGACTGAATGGGAGAACGAGTTTCCAGGTATTGTTTTCGAATTGATTTTGAAAATTTTGTTTTGTCTATTATGTTGCTCTCTTGTCAATTTAACATTATTGTTTACACATACTGAGACATATTTTCTCTTTTTTTTTTCTTTGTTTGCAGCTTCTGTGGTGAGGGCTGTTATGAAGTATGGCATGAAGCATTTCCAAGTAGATGAAAACAAGCGTGACACTTATAACCAGGCATCAGTTTCTGCACATGAGCTATCCGTCATGACTACAACTGAAGGAGAAATTAAGCAATTAATTCCAGTATGTATACTGTTATACTTTCTTTTAATTAATTAGATTCCCTAGGGTTTTGAAATTTTTGGGTTGGAAGTTTCCTTTTACCCTTTCCATTTAGGGAACCAGTGACTCGAAAATAAAGGGGAAGAAAGGGATGGTTGGGGTGTGAAAGGGCTTTGTTTTGTTCAAGGGTAGATAACCTGAGCATTTTATCTAAGTGAATGGTGCTCCTAATGGGGGATGGAGGCGACATTGACGTTCCTCGTTGACTGTCTTGAAGGTTTACCCGCCATTTACAATTTGCCTGAACCAGAAAAAAGAGATGGATTTTATAACTCATCACCTGCCTTGAAGGTTTGCCCTTAGAAATGGCCTGACCATGGAGTAATGAAAATTAGAACTGGACTGTACATGTTGTGGTCTTTGATCCATTGTTTTTGCTGTTCATCTTTGTATAAGCTTATTATTTTTCAATCTATCTTTTTCTAGGTTGGGCTAAGCTCTGAATATGGTTATGCAAGAAGTCTTGCCCGATTTGCTGCAGATCTTGGGCCTGTTGTCTGGAAAATTGCTTCAAAGAAGATTGAAAGTGTTTTGCCTCCTGGTCTGAAGTTTGGGCCTGGATGGGTGGGAGAAAACAAGACTATTGAGCAGCAGCAACAATTGACACTATTGGAGAAGCAGAAATATTCGAACATCTCTGACCATTCTGGCAGAGTTCTATCTCCAACTACTTCTGCTTCAAATTCTGTTGTTGGGAATAGGTATTCTTTGCAAGCTGGAGAAGACAGGGAGGCTATGAGAAGACTAGATTCTGGAAGTGAGTTCAGTTCACCAAACGCGACAAAACCTGTGTCTTCTTCCCAGATTCAGTCAAAACCTGTAATCCATTCTGATCGGAATGGTTTTACCGGTTCATTTGGCCGTAATTGTTCTCCTCAAATGGGAATGGTAAGACATGCCACACCTGCAGTAAAGTCTGTTTCAAACAACATTATGATACCTTCTCAAACAGTTGGCATTATTTCCAGTGGGAATCCAGCTAGTTGTCTATTGCCTGGAAATAGTTTTGATTCCAGTGAAGCAAACTTGGCTGGTAATCCAATTAGGCCATGCATGGGAAATCCAAGTGCTCTAGGATCTTGCTCTTGGTCGCAGACAACAAGTAATGAGGGACTTCTGGGAGAATCATCCATGCAAGAGTTGCCTTATCATAAGCAGGATTTCCACCCCTTTCCACCTGATTTAAATGTTAGATTTCTGTCCCCTGGTTCGCCTAGTTCTAGTGTGCAGATTGGTTCGCCGCAGCAGCCGGATTTAGCATTACAGCTCTGAGGATGAATTGGTTATTTTTATTTAATTTAACATAGGGAAGCATTTTCAGTGTTAGGTTCAGGTCCTTGTCTGAACAGAAAATAAGAAAATTTCAGGGCACCTCTGCCATCTTTCAAGTATGCAAATTGACTATTCTTAGCATTGTGTAGGAAAAAAGATTTTGTACAGATTAATACAAAAAAATTTTAGGGCAAAGACCACAGGTTTTAATGCGCGGCATTTGGATTCAAGTTGTGTTTTGTGATATTCAACAATTTCCCAATACAAGCATATGATATTAGAAGAGACGAGGGTGGTGGGTATTTATTGTTTTTATCTCTTCTAGATTTTATCTTCTTGATGGAGAAACATCAGATATGATTTTTATGGCAGAACTTGTGGTGCTTAATGCTCATTTGATTAGTAAATTGGTTAAGATAATGGCAGATTCTACGAAAGATACAAATGCGACCTAACCTAATCGGGCATGCCCTCCAATTACATTTTCTAAATCGTCTATCATTATTCTCTATTAAAAGGACGATCTCAATAAGTAATCAAATATAATACTTGGGTTGAGAGTTAAATTGGTAATTTTTCTTACGTCTCTTTTTTTTTGAGTTCATGTATCATAATGCGTTCTCGAGACAACGTTTTGAATAATAAAACAAAAATATTTATACCTAACAAAATTAAGTAAATACTCAAAATTATGATTTAATTGATTATATTAAAATGGATGGGTTATAAATAATGCAATTTCATATTTTTCACTTTATCTTTATTTTTAGTAATTTGTAAGGATAATGTTTGAAATAAACAATCATATTTATATAATTACTCATATTTAATACAAAAAAAAACCTTCAATGATCTCTAAAATTGAATACAAATTAGTTGGATTTGATGTATTTTAAACATTTATGAAAAGATTATAAAAACAAAATATAGTATTTATCTATTATATTTATAATTTTGTCAACTTATTTACACTTTTTGGAGTATTTAATAAGTAAACTATTCCTCTCTATGCCTCCCAAAAAAGCTTCGTTTAAACAAAACGCTCTAACCTCCAATTCTATTTCTACCCACCCAAAAAGTAACAAAACGACGTCGGCTTATTAATAATAATAATTTAAAAAAAAAAACCAGAAAACGACGTCATTTTTGCCAAGCCATCCTGCGACTTCCCTCGAGCTTTCCAGATATTCCAAACCATTTCCGGGCCAACAATTTCAGCCTCTCGTCTTTCACCTCGCAGAACTTGTTAGCCCACCCCTTCGGCTCAACCGCCTCGAACCCAAGTCCCGGAGTTCTGTCATTCGACCTAAGGTTCACGGCTCGGGTCCAGTCCACCACGTACGCCGACACTCTCCTCCTAAACTTGGTCTTGAACTCCGACCACGCCTGGTACTTGTAGTGGTTCACCACCGCACCTTCCCTGCTCATCTCCTTCGAGCGATACCCACTCTTCAGTCCAAAATGGTGTATCGCGTTGTACAGCGAGTGCTCTACTGCTTCTAGTAGGACTATGGACTTGTGCCTCTTCTCCACCCGCCGCCGGCAGGTATACCCCTGCGTCACTCCTTCTGGAGGGTGCGACTTCTGATTCGACGGCCCGAAATCGTTGCACTTGAGCGACACCTGACCCACCTTCCTCCTTTCCTTGCCCCTCGGCAACAAGGATTTAATCAGTTGATCTGACGGCTTAGATCTGCTTTGCCATGATGGAGAGAAGACGAATTCATCAATGTCGATGTACATTATCCAGGTGCAGGAGTTTTTCGCGTGGATGACTGCGTGAGAGAAGCCGGCTTCTTGCGTCTTCGGCCAAATCCAAAACACAGTCTCTATGTTATAGCCTTCCAATTTCAGCTTCTTAACCACATCTTCCAGATCGTCGTCGCTCTCGTTGTCGTATAATATGAACTTCTCGACGCCGATTTTGGCATGGTACATCACCCATTCTCTCAAGAACTTGGCCACGTTGTACACCATTGTGCATGCGCACAATTGCTTCTTCCGCCCCGGGCTTACTATCGTACGCTTCGGCGTATAGTACGCGACCGATGGGACGACGGCGTTTTTCTCCTTAATTTCGATTGAGGTTCTGATTCGCTCGTCTCTCCCGCCAGAACTGAGAGCCTTTAAATTGGGACGTGGGCATCTGAACACCTCTTGGATTGAGCTGGTAACCGCAGTTTTCACAGTTATGTTGTTGCGAGTCTCGACCCAGAAGATGCAGTTGAATTCGGAGGGAGACCTGTTGGTTCCTTGCCGATTGTTCAATCCCTTGACGAAGAGAAGGACGTCGTTCTCCGACGAGAAGGAATCGTACACCAGGAAGCTCCACTTGGGGAGTACCGGCGAGTTAGGGTTCACTGGATACGACTTATCCGACGACCTCGTGAAAACCGGCTGGTACACCACGCGGCGGCGGTTTCCCGGTGGAACGTCGCACTTGAAGAGTTCCAGTTTTGTGGACGGTGAGACCCCGACGAACTTGGCAGGAGATGTTTCATTTTTCCGGAATAGACAGGTGTAGTTGTGAGACGGAGGAAACAGCAGCGGGGGAATTGCGAGGAGAACCTCCCACCCTGGCAAAAGGAGGGCCGTAAAATGTTGAACAGAAGAATATTCCTGAGCCGTGGAAGAAGGAGGTGGGGAGGTTGGAATAGGTTGGACGTGGGCGGTGTGACGTGTGAGGTCGAGGAATTGTTCAGGGATGGCGTTGTTAGCAGAATGAGAAATGGGTAGAGTAGTGAGGTTAAGAGGAAGGAAAGTGATGATGATGTGAGAAGAGATAACGTGGCGGGAGTAATACAGAGAGGAGAAGACAAAAACAAGAAGAGAAAGGAATATAAAGAGAAGAGTTGCAGGGGCTTTACGACGCATTTTATGGAAGAAAGTAAGAGCAAAATGGATGAAGGTACGATTATTAGTGTTAATATTATTATTATCCGCCATTGGAGCAACTTCTTCAAACCCTAATTAATAGATACTGTAAGCAGTACAAGTATACATTTCATTGGAGAGAAAAACAGAAACGGGTTTGCTTAAGCCGTAATGGAAGAAGTATAAGAACCAGAGAAATGACCATCTCTAGCTTAACAAAAAATTAAAAAAAAAAAAAACAGAAATGGAAAAGGAAGAAGGATATGAGGAAGGTGGAAACTGACACGTTTTGATGATTCTGTCATTGGTGAAAACTAACAGGCCTAGCTGTGGGATGTGTACGACGGTTTCTGTAAATCCCCAACAGGCAACAGATTCTCGCCATTCTCGCACTCCTTTAAATTCTAATCCCAGTAAATGAATATTAAATATTAAAGACGTTAAAATTTCATATGGACCTCCATGATCATCAACTCTCAACATACTTAACTCTCAGTTTTTTATTTTTTTTTTATTTTTATTAATTTCTAATATCAGAATTTAGCTCTTTCTGGTTATTAATTACAGTAACATAATTAGGTTTTCAGAATCTTAATTAAGAGCTAATGTCTATTGTACATGTAATTGCAAGCTAATTTATCATATTATCTTATATTTTTCCCGATAAGCTAATTCACCAATAAATTTAGGCGAAAGTTTATATTTTCATATTATTTACCATTTCTTATAATTAGGAACTAGTTTATGATTTTTTTTTCCTCTCCACGTATAAGGCATTAGTACATAGGTTTCCTACCCGATATATGAGAGATATATCCACCTCTTAGTCACGAGCCAAAATATCTCTTAATTCACTATCAAGATGAGTGTCAAGGAACAGCATTCAACCATCTGAAGCATCCAAACAAGAACAAAAGAGTCATCGTGAGGATAATCTTAATTCTCTACTTCTGAGTAATCTTTAAACTCTCCAAAGTATCATAAGATTCAGTAAAAAATAGAGTTACATGAAACCAAAAAACTTGTTGACTTGGCTATTGCAATCAACCTCCTAACAATTACAATATCAGAGTCACAAAAAATCGAGACATAAGTAAACTTAATCGTGAACTTTCGGCCACTAGTTGTGGCACTAAAATAATTTATCAGAGATAAAATTGTTCATAAAGATTCATATATTAAAATTTTTAAAATAAGTGTCAGACGATAGAAAAGACTCGAACTCATTCTATTTCTACATGTCATGAATATTCACATAAAAATCAATTGTACATTAAAGGGTTCTTATGGCCACCGTTACCCAAAGCAATAGTCATCAAAGTCTTGTCGTCCATCCAATTATTCGTGCTGAACCAAACCATCATACTATATCTCATAAGTTAACGAATACTAAGTTGTCATAAACAAATATGTCTAATCAGATTCTTCTAAATAAATGAGTTATTTTGGTGAAAATGTTCAATGATAAGGATATTATTTTTTAATATTTAATTTAGAGAATGTATGCTCGTAATATAACCGATAGTAATTAAAATTAATACTATTAAATGAGATAATTGGGCAAATTTTTTTTTTTCAAAAATTAATTAGAGAAATGCATTCATGAAGTATAAAAAGAAGAATTAAAAGAAATGAAGTGAAGTGTAAAGTAGAAGCATGGTGCATTTAGATTGATGATCTTCGATTGTACATAAAGTTCATTCTCCTAAATTGTTTATTAATTTTGGCACATTGACTAAAGTTGATTTCATCCTTTAATTGCTTTTAAAGTTATCTCACGTGTTTCTATGTCAATATCTACACACCCACATATATATATATATATATGTATGTGTGTGTGTGTGATCAAAGATATACAATTCTCGCGAACAATATATATATATATATAAATATATAAACAATATTAAGTACCAATAAAAGTGTTACATAACACCTTAATAAGACCAGGTAAGTATATCTACGAGTTAACATTTAGTTTTCGCTTTCGACATTCATATGTCTTAAGTATAAAACTATATACCAGTAATAGCAACATTTAAAAATATCACTAAATTTTATATTGAAACTTTTAGTTTTTTTAACTATTTTTTTATTTCTTTCAAAAGTCAATCATTTTCGATTCCAATCATTGTTTATTA